GCTCATTGACCTCTTAAATGTGCTGCGATAGAGGAATAACATAATATACATTTCTTTTAACTTGGCCATATTCGGTTCGCTTTTGTCACACTGACGTTGTTTGAATGTTCACGTCTCTTTTTCACTCTATCTCTTCGATTGCGTTGTCATACCCTTCTGGTTTTTCAATTTTTATCATAAAGATAGAACGAAAGATAGACCATGAGATTCTGTTTATTATTACACACAATTTGTGTACCTAAGTTCTTCTTCTTTCTCTCGCTCGGTGTGTGCAAGTTGTGTTTGAATGTGCGCTTGTTTTGAAAATTCTTCATCAAGTAATTCCCTTTACATTTGACGTCTACTTGTTATCAATTCATACAAGTTGTTTGATTCTCTTCGCTTTTTTTATCTCTCTTTATCATTCTTTCTTTTTATACGTTTATATATTTGGTAAATTTGGAATCGTAACACGATTTTGATTTTCCCAACACTATTAAATTTTATGCCGCCATTTACGATCATTCGTAGAATTCTTGCAATGGAATGCTTCAACCGTTTCGTAAGGAGGAAAGAAAAAAAAAGAGGACACACAATCAATGCACATGCATATATAGCGTGAGTGTGGAGTGTGATTGTGTGTGTGTGTGTTGTTTCGACCGAAGAAACGGTCATATCAAAAGAAAATTCAGAACGAAGAGAAGATGACAAAAAGTACACAAGCGAACGAAAAATAAAGAAATCAAAACAAAAGTCAATATAAAGAGAAAATGTAAACAGAATAGTTTCCGCTTTCTCTGTATCGTGTGCATACGAAAAATGGTTGTACTCTCCTGCCTCGCCATCTCACTCTCTATCTCTCTCTCTCTCTCTCTCTCTCTATCTCTCTCTCTCTCTCTCTCTCTCTCTCTCTCTCTCTCTCTCTCTCTAACTTTTGCTGTGTCTTATCAGAGAGTGTTTGCTTGTTCAGAGCACAGTATATGTACACATATTTTGTGTGCAAATATTTTGCTTCTCATTTCGCCAATTCAATAAGCATCGTTTGTGCTGCTGCTGCTGCTACGTTCAATGTGCATACACAAACGCATTCCGTTTGGATAGAAAATGCATGCAAATAAACCTTTCGAAGAACGCATCCAATGGGATAGTGGAAAATGAGAATGGCTGACTTTTTGCTCTTGCACTGGTCAAAATTCTCCAAATACAAAAACACATTCCCAAAGATGTGCATTTTTAAGAAAATTTCTTTTTGCTAATCAAGAGGAGAATTGAGGCAGTAGAGCGCATTCTCATGTGAACAAAATGAGACTATAGACAAGATACAGAAGAAAAAAATATTTATATAGTATACAAAATAGAATGAGGAGAGGAAAAAAACACACAACAATCTTCCAACGGTAGATTGACTGTGAGAAACGGTTTAAAAGCAACACAAACAATATTAAATGCATACGCAATGTATATGATACATACATGAATATGTTTTATGTGCGGATGTAGTTATTACATGTGCGGCACAGTGAAGAGCCAGGCCTTCCGACACAACCAAACACAACATACAAACCGTTCTCCGAGATGTGCTTGTGCGTGTGGTTGTTGTATTTGATTTGTGGAATTTCTGCTGCGAATGAATATTCAAGATTGTTGGCTAAATTCTTGTGAATTTCACCGCGTCAAAGACTTTTTGCCAAAAAAAAGAGAAGAAGATCAGAAGCAGCAACAACACGCAAAGAATGAAATAACAAAATGATTCGATCAAAGCCCAAATTCCAAAGCGATTGATTTTATGTCGACATTCGATCAACCGTCAGCACACGATCGCACGCCGCTCATTCTCTAGGCAAATCATTAACCAAACGCTTGATGAATTTATTATTTGTCGTCGTCGTCGTCTTCTTGATTCATTTTAGTCGGTCTCTTTCTCACAATCATGAATAATGTTGAGGTATCGATCATTGCCCCACAACTCGAATACTGACACGCTCAATACACACATACCACATATTCACTCACTCACTCTCCGGCAACATGTTTACAACATAAATCGGCTTCACGTTCTTTGGTATGTTCATTCTCCGCCATCGTTTCAACTTTTTTTTTCTTTCCCTTCTTCCGAAATGAACAGTCAGAGTCTTTCGTTTGCACGGCCATGCATCGTACATCTGTGTGGGTAGAGAGACAGAGAGATACACATACGGAGAGTGAGTGAGAACGCACACATATACTCATTTGTGTATGCTCGATTCGACTCGTTCGTCAACGAGGGGCAATACACCATCAACGTAAATATAAACATAGTAGTAAAATGTAGTAATATGTAATCGAAAATTGTACGGGAAGTAATGACACACAGACGGCGAGCACTACATGTTTTCATGACATCTAATAAAACGACTGTCGTTCGTAGCAGCAGCAGCAGCAGCAGCTACGGTAATGGCAACGGCAGCGACACATAACGCAGCCGAGTGCATAAAACATGAGGCGCGTGTAAAGGAATGATGCACAAACGACGCATAAATAGAATTGGAATTGAAGCGAGTCACTTCTATTAAGCGCACATTTCTGTCCGGACTATAGCATTCAAGCCATGGCTTTTTCGAATGCAAGAAACAATTCGAGAGGGAGAGAGAGCGGAAAAAGCCATTCCTTTCGAAATGGCTTTTCGGTTTTATGGTAGTGGAATATATTCCAATTGACAAACAGAACAGAACAAAACTAAAAGAAAAACAAACATACCGAAGAAGATTGAAAATTAAGCGATTCATGATTTTCCTTGGTGTTAAACCCAATCAAAAAAAAAATTCATGGAAAAAAGCGATATCACGAGAATTTGGTTTAAAACCCATTTCGTAGATCATTCCATTGCACATCGTGGAAAAATCATTCGTTCGTCGACACTATATACATACGCTTGCATCATGGCTTTCTCTCTCTCTCTCTCTCTCTCTCTCTCTCTCTCTCTCTCTCTCTCT